AAACCTTCATGATGAATAGGCATACTTCCATTCCTTTCTCTCTTGAGATTGCTTCATTGCTGTACATATTTGTCATGGCTTAAATTGGGGGGGGGCACAGAAATCTTCATGGTGCTTTCATTTTTGCTGATTCCTCTGTTACAGTGGGGAGGGCCAGTGGTTTTGAGGGGCCCTGGACAAAGTTCCCATGCCCCCCTCCCCTCTTCTACCTACCACCACGCCCCCACACATGCCCTCCTTCCCTCCCACAGACCCAAATGCCTCCCACTCACCTGCTTGCAAGCTCTCCCACTGCCCATGCTCACCACTGCCTGCAGCCTTTTCCCCCAGTGGCGCTGGGCAGTGCATATAGCTGGGAGCACGGTAAAGCGCTCACAAATAGGTGAGGATCAACAGCAGTTAGCCCTGGCAGAAGTCCTGGGCCATGGCAGCTGCCCCATTTCAGGGTACGCTGACACTGGCCCTGCCGGTGGGTTACTGGAAAATGTATTCAGTATTTAACAAGCAGGTCACATTGGAGATGGCAGACCTGCAAGCACACAGTGGCTTTGTTCCCATGGAATTTAGTTTTTCATGTGCTGAAGTCAATGGCAAAACCATTGTTTGGCTAACTGTATCGGTACCAAGCATGACAAGAATCCTGGCTTCAAATTATACTTACTGGGTGGGATAGGGTTACTTTCAGTTGCCTCCTGTCCCCTCGAGAATAGTGCTATACCAGCAAAATAATAATAATAATAATGACACTCTTGTGCTGGCAAGATGTTACCACCAGCAAAACCATTACACTAGCAGAGCCCTTCCTATAGAAAACTGGGCAGAGCTGGGAGTGCGGGAATGGAGGAGTACAGTTTAGAAGGAATCAGAGAATTGTCACTAGTCTATGTTCAGTAAAATGTGGTTGCAAAGGAAAGGAACTATACAGATACTGCTACCAGTACTTACCGCTTAGGACCGAACAATGCTTAAAAGCTGTCATTTTATTTCTTTAAAACATTTATTAGCAGCGTTTCTACTCTGTGGAACTCAAAGCAACTTACAATATGTTTTTAAAAAGACATAAAAGATCACAATTTCCACCTTTTCTTTTACTACTCAGTCTTTTCTTTAGGAAGATAAACTGCTTTCTTTCTCCCTTCCCCTTTTATTTAGAGGCATGTCAAGCCTTGTCACATCTGCATATACAAAGATTTAAAGACCATCATCCACAATGACATCCACACAATCATAGTAAGAGTTCGGGAAGTACATACTGTCAGTGTTTACAGAACTCCTGCAGTTTCATGGCCAACACGTGTCCTATCAACCTACCCTCATCCTTCCGTATACACTGGTGACTTTAACAGTCATCATGGAAATTGGAGGTACATGGTTAATGGTAATAGCAGTGAGGCACTTGTTCACTGGGCTGAAGAACATGGGTTGCACCTCATTTTTGATGCTAGACAGAGGTACTTTCAGATCAGCAGCAAGGAACAGAGTCCAACCCTGATTTAACATTCGCTTCATCTGACCAGAGAAGTCAGCCCTTGTCTATATCCAGATGTGCTTTTGAGGTTTTCCCACATAGTCAGCACCATCCTGTAATCCTTGAGCTAAGAATTCAAATACCAGATATCAGGTCATTTCCAAGACTACGATGGAACTTTAAGAGGGTGAAACAGACAGGTTTCAGTGAAGATCTGGATAAGTGTCTCGGACACATAATAACTACTGCTGATTCGTTGGATCTGTTATACCTACAGCCAAAAGGCGCGTTCCTCGAGGAAAAGAATATATTCCAAGCTGTAGCGATCAGAGTAAGAGGCTGTATCAAAATTTCCTTGACAGCAAAGATCCTGAAGTAGCAGATGAACTACTCCATGAATTTGATGCTGCATGCAGACAAAAAAGGGACCAAAGCAACTACAATTTTGGATTTAAGACATTCCAGTAGGAAAGCCTGGGGCCTGCTGAAAAAACTAGGCGCAAGCCTACCTGTGCTCTGAGGAAAACCTGAGGTAACATCCAACCAGGTAACTGCTCGACTAGTATCCCTATCCAGAGCTCTGAAGGATCGAGATTTCACAATCAGGATAAAAAAGAACTCCAGATTTTGAAATGCACCTGCCTTAAAGACTGCAAGCTGTCAGGGGATTTCAGTGCTGATGAGCTTTTCAAGGCACTGAAGGACATCAAAAGCAGAAAGGCACCAGGCTTTGACTGCATCCATAATGAGTTCCTCACCAACAGCAGCATGTTCACTAAGAAGAGGCTTGCAAAGCATCTCCCTGACATAATGAGAACCGGAAGATTCCTAGGGAATTCAAGAAAGCAAAGATAGTTGCTATTCTGAAACCTGGAAAACCAAAACATCTGTTGGAAAGTTACAGACCTATTTCCCTGAGCTCCTGTTATAAACTCCTCGAGAGGCTAATCCTGAACAGAATCAGTGTCAGACTTAATGAACATGTCCCTATAGAGCAAGCAGGATTTAGACCTCATTGCAGTTGTGAAGATCAGGTTTTCAGCTTAACCTTCACTGAGGCAAGATATCAGAAGTGTCTTAAGACAGCAGTTTTCATTGATCTGACTGCCGCTTATGACAGTCTGGAGGAATGGTCTGTTGTACAAGTTCTTACAAGTTTCCCCCTGCAGAACATTATTTTGACTCTTGAGTGACAGAACTTTCCAAGTAATTGTGGGTCAGTCAATTAGCAAGCAGAAGAAACTGAATAATAGTTTAGCCCAGGGCTTGGTCCTCACTCCAGTTCTTTTCAATCTACACATATTTGATGTTCTTGAGACAATATCCAGGAAGTTTGCTTATGCCGATGATATGGCAATTGCAGTAAACGACAAATGGATTGAAAGGACTGAGGAAATATTAACTACGGGCCTTGAAATTTTGGCTGACTACTACCATAAACAGTAGCTCATTCCAAGTCCAGGAAAAACAGAATGCTCCTGTTTCCACCTGAACTGTGAACTGTGAACTGTGAACTGAATGTCTACCTTAATGGCACCTAACTTACACACAATCCTATACCTAAGTACCTTGGCATTACCCTGGACGGGACCTTGAGCTATAAATACCATCTTACCAATGTAGCAGTGAAAGGTACACATGCAAAACAACATCCTCTAAAAATTATGTGGTACCACTTGGGGTGTGTCTGCTACAACACTTCAGTGCTCAGCTTTGAGGTTGGTGTATAGTGTTGTGGAATATGGTGCTTCAGTGTGGCTCAACAGCCCCCATGTTCACAAACTTGATGTCCAACTTAATACAACACTGAGACCCATCAGTGAATGTCTTAAACCCACTCCAACCCATTGGTTACCTACATTGTGCCACATCACTCCCCCGCATCTCCAAGACAGGATGCTGTTCTTCATGAACATAGAAAGGTCATCGAAAACAGGGAATTGCCTATTCATGAAGACACAGCTGACACGAATTTACCCAGACTAAGGTCCCAACACCCAGCAATAAGGTCTGCACAAACCCTGCATTCAGAAAATTTCAATCTAAGGAATGATCACAAACATCAGTTCCACCCGATATTCATAACTTGATCAACATCAATGAGAGGCCAGCAGGATTTGACTTGTTACATAAAGTATGGAAGACAGCTAAAAGAATACAAACAGGTTTCAGCAGATGTGCAGACCTGTTATTTAAATGGGGCAAAATCCAGGGCCCGAATGCAATTGTGATGCAGCCCACCAAACTGTTTCACCTGTCACAGGAATGTGAGTGTCATGCTTTCCAGAGATGTGATAGAGTTCCTTGAGCTTTCCCCAGCTGCGACTGAGTGGATCAAAAATTTAGATATTGGTATTTAGCGTGATTGTTTACTCTGTATACTCATATCAACTTGGTTACATATTTTATGTTTCCTGTGTGTAATTTTGCCATACAACGAATAAATACAAAGATTTAAAGGCTCCTCTTGGAGCCACTTGTTGATTTACACGTTTAGGCAAACTTACATATGCATACCCTAGTCTTCCAACACAGGTTATTTAAGTCTCACCAAAGGTACTCTGATCTTGTATGTCAGAGCACGCAGCACGGACTTACATTACTCTGTCCTCATGCCCTCATAACAGGATTAGTAATATTAACATTACACATGTAACCAGAACTTTTTTAAATAATTAACACGTCATAATCAATGTTCCCTCTAAGCTGTGGAGTCTTGTGAGCAAAAATTCTACTTTGTGAGCTCCTGGCATTAAAGTTGTGAGTGAGCGATTTGGCAACTGCATAAATTAGTTTGCTCTGGAGCCATCCTTCCTGAGTTAAGACAAAAATGTGTGAGCCGGAAGCTAAAAAACTGTGAGCTAGCTCACACTAACTCAGCTTAGAGGGAACAGTGGTAATAATTATTGCCATAATGAGGCACAGACATGTAAGAGCATTGTTTTAATCATAATTATTGTAGAGTTGGGCAGAAAAGGTTGGTTCCTTAAACAGAAGTACTGTTTTGATAAGAGCAAGATGTCCTGTCCTGTGCTTAGTAAGGAAAAGATGCCATAGGAGTTTACCTCAGTCCTTTTACCAAAATTAGTGAGGAAGGAATACTGATGTGAATCTCTGCTGTGCTTCCTTAGCTCAAAACAAAAAAGTAGTAACTGGGTTTTTAAGGTTCTACATCATAGACTTCATACTTCTTCAGTTATCAGATGGAAATTAAAATGGAACCTATTCTTTAGAATTGCAAAATTGGAAAGTGCCCTATGTATGGTCTGGGAAGACAGTGCTAATGGTACAAGTCTTATATAAATGAAAGATTACTGGAAACTCCATCTATGGTAGAATATTATGTATGTTTGGGGGTTTGTTTCCTTTAAATAGGGGGGAAACTTTAGATTTTATTTTGGATACCAAATGAAATTGCAGTAGCAAGATGAAGATGGACATTTCAAGTAGGGAAAGCATAGTCACTTTCATACTAAATCTGCTAGCCTTTGAATTCTATCAAAAAGGGCTCAAAACACTGATTATCTTCTAGATTTGTTACACCAAAACCCACAACAGTCAGCCCACTGGGATTAGTCCGATGGTCAGCACCCAGATCTTCTGAACGTCGCTCTTATCAAGCTCGGCAGAAGATTGCAAAAATGAGGAAGGCTTATAAGCTTGATAAAGAAAAAATGGTAAGTATTTACAATACACAAGAAATATACTGAGTTTTCCAAACTTGGTCATGGCAGTCAGTATTCTGATGGGATATTTTCTAGCCCTATGAGTTTCATTATGCTTATTTTTTCAAACATCTACATATATACACTTTATTTTATATGGTGTCATAGTGAGGCTATTTGTTTAATTTTGTTGAAGAAACACTAAGTTTTGGGGAAAATACACAACTTGATCTGATCAAAAAAAGGATCCTCAGTCTACACACTATTGACTTTGCATTAATTGTGCAAAGCAACATGTAAGGCTTTGGATGAAGGGGTTGAGAGAGCAGGAAGCTAACTCCAACACTGTAATTTCTTATTAATACAATTCATATTTTATTCAGGAACAGAAGATGGATATTTCAACTCCTTTAACTGGTCATCAAGAAGTTAAAATTCCATTACAGGAAGGCACAGCTAACCGAGCTCTATTTGTAGAGGAAGAATGGGAGAAAGAGGCAGCAAAGCTTTTTGCCTGGTCAAAATCACTTGGTGAAGATACTGGAAATGACCTCCACTAAATGTGTTTTTCCAAACAAAAAACATCTGAAATCGCACTGGGGCTTCTGTTGTAGTAAAACAAAGTTCTCCACACGCAGTTCTCTTGGTCACAATGCAAACACAGTCCTGACAGAACATAAATTCTATATAATGAAGCTCTGGTTTAGGGGAAACATAATGAAGCAAAAATTGTGGTGCAAACTACGTGTTCACAGTATTAAACAGGAATAAATGGGGAAGAATAGTACCACTAGAAATGGTGGGGGTTGGAGGGAGATCGAGGAGTGTCATGACCAACCAGGACACTGATCTTTCAAAGCAGTGACTGGACATGGTAAACAGAATCAAGGTGGGAAATCAGAGAATAGTTTCCAGACTGCAGCTAAGAGAATACAGAAGGGTGATGCTATGAAAGGAATTCAACTGGTGTCTACTGAACTCAGTGGAAAGATACATTATCTTTAATGTGACTGCCTACAATTGTTGTTTTTTATTTGAATATGCTGTAATAACACTATATACTGTGAGATAGTTCTATAAAATCTTAGTAGCAATAATGGGCAAAACGTTAAGAACTTTTAAATGCCAAGCTCCAATGGGCAAGAGTTCAGTACATCCTTCCATCTCACCCACTAAACTTAATGGGATTTAAGAGGGCTTAACTTCAGCTACATTTTGTCCATGTTAGTATTTCATCTTTCCCAATTAGACTCACATGCTTTGTGTATAGTAAGTCTGAACTACAAGGCAAAGTAAAATAAAGATTAAAAATATTTTATTTACATTTTCTTTATGTACAGTTTGTACACCTCTTTTAGTTTAAAACATAAAGAGTACATATGCATGTCCAGACATAATGCATTCACAGCATGGAAGAACTTAACCTGCAAACAGAAGGAAAATGCTTTTAAGAACTGCAGACAAATCCTAAATTTTAGAATTTTCTAGCAGCCCTGGGAACATTAGAAAAATATCCCAATACGCACATTTGAATCCATGTATATATTTGAATCAACAGTATGCTCATTTGCTGCAACACAGAATGAAGTTAGAAAATGTTTTAGCTAGTCAACTGGAAGAGTTGTTTATGCCACATCAATTTGGGGTATGCTGAGAATCAATACTGAATTATGCCCAGGTAACTGTTCTCAATGTTGCTGCTCCTAGTAGAATTTTACCACTTATAAGGGTCCTAGACTTTTGAACAACGATATTTAAGAGATCAATAATAGCTATTACTGGAATTTTGATCCTAAACTAACCTATCAATGTTTTAAGGAAGAATCCACCCAAGCAAACTTGGGTTGTTTATCTAGTTTACCATTCAATTTCTTCTTTGTTCTTTTCCAACACTATTGAATAACGATTGCTACTGATAAAACATCATGTAACGTGAAAACTAAGAGTTTCCAATCCTTTAAGCACATGTTCAGCCTTTTGCAGGTATACGCTCACTCTTATTTTTCATAGCGTTCATCTCAAGTATGGGTAATCCTGTTGAAGTTATAGAAGCAGGGTACTTGCTGATTTTTTAATTCAGGCATTAATTTGCTACTTTTGTCTATGCAGAAAATGAGTAATTCCCATAAACAGATCCTATTAAGAAAACAGTAGTTCCCCATTTTTATGAAATAAGTGGGAAAGGTGTTCCATGTTATGATCCCAATTAAATTATTAACAGTGTGATTCCACTCAAGTGGCTACTATATCACCCCTAAAATGTAAAAGCATTATTTCTAGCAGCAACTAACTTGGTATAAAAAGTAGGCATATTAAACGTGCAGTTATATTTTTATCTGGTGTCTAATTTTTGTATGCTGTATCCTTTCTATTCTATTTTGATCATTTTACTCATCCAGTTCCTAGAGGAACACACTATCCATTACCAAGGTAACTGTGCCAGCATGAACAAGTATTAGATCACATTTTAAGAACACATTCTTTCTGGACTAAGCAATGATTGCAAAGCCTCTTGATTGGTGGCTAGCTCATACCAGTGAAATACAGATATCAACTTTTTCAGTAGCATAAATCCTATGTAAACATTGCCTGATTGCACAACAGTATTTCTTGAGAGAGTCACTGGTCCCTTAGCGCATTAATAGCAGTTTTCTTTCTTCCAATGCCAATTCCTGATACTTGGTGTATTCCTCACGCATCTTTTCCTATAGAGATGGAAGGATCACAATCCAGTGCAAAATTAAGTATGCTTAATCCCACTGAAATCAATTGGCTGTAAATTCATTTAGATTGGGCTGGACTGGGGGGGTTACCAACTCTACTAAGTCTTTATGATCTCTTATTTTGGCACTTGACTCACCAATGCAAATGGAACCTGCAGTGTTTGAACCAAATATTATAAAGAGCCCTGTGCTTGACAGGAATCTGAAGAGTAATCTGAAGATAATTTAGCTGTAATTAGTCAAACAAAAATGGAGGAAAAGAGAAATTATGAAGAACAACGTCAAAATTGTGTCCACTGCCCTTAGCTCACCTCCTCTCCTCTCTTACATTAAGTAAGTGTATAGAGGCAATGTAGGCATGTGCTGAGAACTCACAGCATCTTAAAATACTGCTCTGGAAACTATGAACAAAAGTAGGTTAAGAATCACTGACACACACAAAGTAGACAAATAAATAGCTTCTTAACCGTACCCAAAATACAACAGCAGCACCTTCTTTTAGATGCTTTTTTATCTGCTATATGGGAAAGAGGTAATAAAGGCAACCATACATACATTATAAAACAAATTCCAGTGTAAACAAAATAGGAATCTAATAAAAATGGCTGCAATCCAATGCATGCTTCCTTGAAGATAAGGCCCATTTAATTCACTGGAATTTACTCCCAGTTAAACAACTGCAGGATTGTGTTGTAAGTCATTTTCAACTGATGTAGCACAATAAAATGAAGTAGTAACTGAAACAACAAGACTGTAGAAGGAACTGTAAAAATATTTTTACAGGTCTTTTCATTCCTCTGTCGGACGATTTGCTTTAATGCTCTGCTTCCAATACTTTAAATCTAGAGTTATCATTTCAGATGAGTCTTCTAAAATGCTGAAAGCATTACCTAAAACTGAATACTTAGTTGAAGTCAAAAGGTAAAAGTGATGGGTGTGTGTGTGTATACATACACACAGATATATGTACACATACACACCACTTTTTTAACCTTTTGACTTCAACTAAGCATTAGGTTTATATAATTTAATAAGCTTTCTTTTGCCTGAGTGCTAAGCCCTTTTTTAAAAGGATACCTGTTTGAGTCCTGCACAGATTCAAATGGCAGTCTGTTCTACTTGAGATATGAATCTAGAGGATCATGTTACAAAGTACTGCTACATGAAAATTTCTCTGCCCACATCCCATTTAGCATGCTGGGAACAAGAGTAGACTTGAAATCTTCTCCCCAGCATGCGAGCTTTGCATGTGCAGTAACTGGTCTCCACCTTGATATCAGAAGCAATACACTCCATCATAGTGCGCTGTTTAGCCTTGGTTCTTAAAAGATTAAATACAATGCCCAATTCACATAAACAAGTAGCTGTGCTGTGGCTGCTTGAACTCCAAATGCTGAAAGTTGTGAGCCACTCACCAGTCTGACAATTTCATCACTTCATTGCAAGTTATTAAAACAAGTAATTCACTGTCATGTAGCAAAGTAGGCAGATTCTCATAGTAAGTAGGATTTCAAGCAACCACTACAGAATAGCTTCTTAGAGTGAATCGGACTCAAATTATTGTTTTGACAACATGAGTTCCTAGGATGAAGTGTAGGAACAGATATGTCAGCACATCATCACAAAGCATGTTATTGTCCTGGGATCACAGACACTTAATACCAACAAAAATAGTAGTGCTAACGTGTTTTAGTTCAGTTTAACAAAAGCTACTGTTAATTAACAGCTATCCCACACAAAACCCCACTTTAATTAATTGGTTTGAAATGGCATAGAGAACTGAGGGTTGACCAGAAGGTCTCCACACTGTAATCATGACTCTTCTTGGTTGTGTCCAAACTAAGGAAAGTTAAAATTCTCAAGTGACAGTAATCACATGTGGTGGTGGTGGTGGTGGGGAGGTAAGAGTCAAATACCATGTTAACTTTAGATTAAATTCTGCAACAATGTTTTGCTATCCAGAACACCTTTATTCAGCCAGTAACTATTGACAGTGTTTGTGCCTGGAACCCTGAAACATCCCACTCTATATAAGGTTACATAAGACTAAAGAGCCAATGAAAACTAGGGTTTTTGCTTTGCTCTTAGAGCTGAAGTACACAATCAGGAGCTTTGTGAGACATCTCTATGCTATTTTAAACCACAGGATAGAACTCAAATGCTTCTTTGACATTAAAACAATTCCTAGTACTTACTAAACATTTCAGCGTGATGGCAAGATCAAAACCTTCAGACATTCTAGTTTTGTATACACAAGGGGCTATTTTGCATAATGCTACTAATAATGTAAACTGGTTCTCTGTCCACTTGCCAGGAAAAGGTGCACTAATGAAACAACTCTAAGGAACACTTTTGAAGTAGTCAGCATGCTTGTATGTTCTCTAGAGAACATCACATGCACTTGGGTTTCTGCTGCAAAGGAGATGTTGAAGTATATGCAATCTCATATTTCCACACACACAAATATTGGCTAACAATGGTCAATCAATAGCTTTACTGGCAAGTCTTCTTTTGTGGACAATAATGTTAAAGTCTGGTCTAGCAATCAATGTTAATACACTATAATCACCTCATTTAACAAAGTGTAAATTTCCCCCCTCCCTTTTAATCAATCTAAGAGAGAGATAAACATGTGGCAGTCCTATCTTTCCTGTCTCCTTATAAATCTTTATATCCTAAGAGCTATAAGAAAAAAGTGCCCTATAAAAAGGCACTTTTGTATTATAAAACATCTGTTCATTTACTTTGCAGAAATGTGTTACAGCTTAACATAACACATTTAGGGAGCATTTGGTCCTTTTGGCATACATCATTTCACGCTCCTTGAATACAGACTGCTTGTTCTATGACGATTTCCAGTGAGAAAATGCTGAAAAGAAAATTTCCAAACATTACTGTGTGA